AAAAAAAAAAAAAAAAAAAAAAAAAAAAAAAAAAAAAAAAAAAAAAACTTTAAAACTTTTTGTTTGTCCTCTTTCAATTTCCATCCAGCAAAAATAAGTATACATTAAAAAGAAGATCTGTAATAACTTGTTATTGTTGCTGGTTGACAGACATACTCCTGATATTACACCCAATGGGACAGCAAACATCAACATGACTAATCTGTTAGCTACAAAGCTCCCTACGCAGCAGGGCTGTCAAACATTCACACTGTTATCTCGTAGCATCATGCTGCACCAGCTTCTGTGTTTTTGGAATGAGTCGGGGAAATTCACCATCCCCAACTAGATAACACCACGTAGCCGTCTGTATGCTAAGCAGACACGTAGTGGCCTTGCATGCGTATCTTCCATCAGGCATTGCCGACAACATTCTCCTGACCGTCAAACCTCACTTCCTTCCACACACAGAGGGGTACGCCCGGCACTAAACAGCCCCCTCCCCCTCGACTGTCCCTGGCTGTGAAGCGTAGAGACAGCGCCAATGGAAACTAGTGACCTCCCTTTTGTTTTTATAACCCTTACATTGCAGGCAAGTTGTTAATGTAATATAGAAGTCGCACAGAGGCTCATCTACTTACTCAAGCACATGCATGCACACTTACACTAGAACCAATGGGATTTGATCTTGCTCATGGGCACTGCAACAACACTTTTTCTGCCAATGTAACATGTTGACACCTTCCAGAGCTTTAACCATTTTTCTAAACAGGAGCTGTGCGTTAACCAGTTCAATTCTTAAATCCTATTAGAGGTCGGATGTCGGCTAATAGTGGTTAACACATTTTCAAGATCTTTGCCAAGAATGCAGTGATCCGATATACTGGATCAGACCATATCTATTCTGCTCCGAGAGCTGCACGTTTGGCATTGTTACAGGTTGCAGACAGTTGAACAATATTCAACTTTGTGTGTAGTGCTGCGCTCGTCCCCGTCACCTTTTACCCAGTGGTCTGCTGCTGTTTTATTGTGGACTCAATGTGCTTAAAATGTCTACTGGGTACTCTGTGGCAGCCAACTAGTGCGCCAGTGCAGTCCTCTAAATCCCAGGGATTACGGCCACAGAGAGAACCTGCCAGGTGCCCCACACTGTCTGCTAGTTGACGCAGTTAATAGGATATTCTCTTCTGCGAGGTAAACAGGAAACCTGAGCTTAGCTAGCCACTCCACTTCTCACACTTTCATACTGTTGGGCCAAATAACAGGGAAGAGTACAGAAACACAGTGAATCAAGGTGTGAAGAAGACTAACCGGTCAGCAAGGCTACCGTAGGGATCAAAACTGGACAACTTTCATTCAATGTGTACATCATTTATTTCATATTTATTGAACTGTCTATTGTAGAATTTGTTCGAAACACTATTGCCACATGTATTGCATGTATTAAATAGTGGACATGCTCACAGCTGGAAATAATTAAAACTAATTGACAGTAGTAAGACCAAAAGTTGAATAATTCATCTTGGAGAAAACATGTAGCTTTCTTTGTTAGGTTTAACTAGCCGTGATATTACACCGCCAGTTTGACATCCGTTGACTCGCACCCTTTTCTCATGGCTTCAACTGCTTCTTTGGATTTGGACTTCTCCGAGAGGGAAAACCTAATTTTGGTTTGATGTAGTTTTTCTCCACACTCCTCTGAGTGAAAAACAAAAGTGGGAAGTGATATTAGGTGCAGTGAGTCACGTTCCACTCAGCCTGAACAGAGCCAGATTTTTCGTGGGGGAAAATGTTGGGCCATTTGCTTTGTTCCAGGCAGATATATGTAATGTTAGGAGAGCGTGCTAGTGGTCGGCATTTCCTTCTTGGCTGTAAAATTCTGCAAGCAGAGGTTATCCCAAGAGGAGCAGCAGAAATGGCATCAATATTAATGAGGCCTGCTGGCCCTGTTGGCTGCCAGCCTCCTGTTGCAGGGCACACTGAATTAAAGTTGCACCCAAACAAACATGTGATAGGAGAGCCCCTCTGGATGTTCTGGAGTGGTGCCAGCCCACTTTAATGTCCTTCCTCCAGCAGAGGCTGCTTGGGGCTAATGTTAGCTCTACTTCCCAACTCGCTGTACGTGTCAGCTGCTCTGCTTCAACAGGAAGGTGGGGGGTGTTAAGGTTTCCTGGAGCGAGCGCCTTGTCGCCAGCAACAAAAAAAAAGTCAGATTAAATGTGCCACAGGGTAGGGGTGTGTAGTAAATCACAGTACCAAGTGTGATTTAACCGTTTGTGCAAACAAATGCAGCTTCCAAGTGGAAGCATTCTAGCGACAAGCTCCAAAATGTTTTATGTTGTTTTCACTTAAGGAAATCTAAAAATCCCACCACAAAACTAGCTGTGAATGTCGGCTCTTTTCTACAACAACTTACCTTCATTATGTGAAACATATTACACCTGGGTTGGTGCCCAAGTACATCTGCACCCTTCTACTACTGGCCAGCTCCACACGAGCATGAAATTGCCAGTGGTCAAAGGCACCTTCACACAAGTTGTTGAGAAGCATTGGCCTTTAAATTTTGTTCACTTTCCGCAAACAGATTTCCCAACAAATTTGACTAACTACACCCGCCGGTCACGAGCCCACTTCTGTAACCGTCGGGACGCTACCACTCTTTATTTCCAATTACTTTTGTATCTGCGGCCATATTTCTGCGACGGTCACATCAAAGCTAGGTAGTTTAATCGCCGTGGATGGGGCAGCTGTTACCCATGCTGACAGCTCCTTATCCATCTGCCACCGGGAGGCAAACACAGGCCCTCTGACGCTCCGGCCACAGGCCCGACATTAACTCTCTCATGAAGTCTATTTCAGCCTCCACGGGCAAAACAGCTGCCCTACGGTGCACACCGCACTGTTTTTAGACACTCTAAAAGGTTCGGCTCAGAGAAAAGAAAAAATAAGAAATTGCTCTCCCCTACATCTGTTGCCAATGAAGCAAAGGAATGCATTTCCCCGAGAAC